GGGCTTCCCCGCCCACGCGGGCTTGTGGGGGATGCCCTTCCTTCTCTCTTTCATTCTCTTGATCTCTGTCATGGGAGTAGGAGCAGCCACCTACACGGTGGCCAACGACGTCGACCCTGTGCAGGTATCGGGTCGGGCTGCGCTGCAGCCTGTGCTGTGCAGGGGCGAGGAGTCACCGCTTGACACGGTGCCATGTGCCATCCCGCCTCGTCGCCACCGGCGGGTGCAGCGGCAGCAGGGCCTCTATATGGCTCCGGTGCCGTGGCATCCCGGACCGCCGCCACCTGGCATCTTATTTGAGGGCGGTCCTCCGTTGTCGCCGGCATCGTCTTCGGATGACGAGGCGCCACCTTCGGGCAGCACTTGGCAGCACCCTGGTGCGGTGCAGCCTCCCGTGATCGGCGAATCAACAACACCGACTCCGTCAAATTCTCTGGCGAATGATTTCTCAGTGGCCGACACCTTGCACTTTGGCAGCCCTGTGTTACTCCGCCGTGCTACGGCGGACTACTACAGTGCTCGTTGTGGTGGCGGTGCTCCTCTGGCCATTGACTCCGAGTAGTTATGTTTCTGGTTCTGGCAGTACACCACTTTCATGGTGGTGTGCTGAGATGTGCTTTGACCTCAACACGGTCTTCAATCTGGTTTATGCTTTTACTTTGACAACTTTGAACTCTTCAATCTGACTTGCTGACACAGTGCCTTTCAGTAGTTTGGCAGGACCTATATGCCTGTGTGTTTCTGCACTTGTGCCGGCTAGAGGGTTTCAATTAGTGTATCAGAATTGCACAGTTGAATTAGCAGTTAGGTTTGTCACCCTAGCTCCTACCCTAACTTATCTTAACATTCTGACTCTCCTAGACAGTCACCACCCACAGTGCTGGGGTGGTGTGCTGGAATCTGTATAGGCAGCCCTGACTGGGAGTCCCGGTGCAGGCCCCTATGACAGACCCCTAGGACCAACACTGGACCGCTGACTGATCTATAGGTTCGTGCTGTGACACACGCTGTGTCACAGGTAGGCTAGTATCCGAGACCGTTGCGAGACCGTTCCGGGTATATCTAGCTTAGGGTTTATTATCTTATCACAGTTTATCCACACAGTTCGGGACCCTCTGATATCTAGTGAACTAGGATATTCCGGTACAAAATAAACACTGCAAAGTTGAAAAGCAATGCAAGTGTACGGATGAGCGGGTTTGTGAGTGCAGTCTCTGTAAGAAGATCTGCTGAAGCACAACGCTTCCTCACTTTTGTACCTAACGTCTCCCATCATCTTAGATGGTACCGCCATTGGGTTGTGAACCCGAGACGTAGGTTGAACGACCAGCATGGTAATAACGACTAGTTCGTTCATGCTGCGCATGCGAGTTCCGCGCATGCTGAAAGCCAAGATGGTTCTTGTTTGTTTTCAAGATGTATCTTTGCTTTGCCATATTCGAGTTCGACATACGAACTCTCGATGACAGGAATGCCTGATGATATGATATTATCATCTGGCGACATGTACAGTCATCGTCGACCGTACTGACGACTGTCATAAATATATGACGCGACTCGACCTGTACAATCATGGTCGACCATACTGTCGACTGTCATAATAATATATGACGCGACCGACTGTCATAATGTATGACATGACATGGTATGACATGTCTGACAGGTATGACACGTATGACATGTATGACACATATGTCATCGGTCATGACCCTGACAGGTCCTCCCACAAGGACCGAAGTGAATTTGGGATATATGCCGCGTTTTTTCGATATAGTTGGTATATGAGTGCTTTGGGGTCATATTCAGGTGTCCAACAATTATCTAACAACTTGTGTTGGGTGTAATACTCGGTGTAGCGATGTGGTTTACGTTATTGAAAAGTGGGGGTGAAACCGCTCGAAATTAAATAAAAAGGCCGGTCCTCCCACAAGGACCGGAAGTTCCCAAGCCACCTACACTCACTAAGTGGCCTTCCTAGTGCCCACTGCACTTAAAAAATACTCCAACATGACCTATTCGTGCCCTCTACAATGTACAACATCTTCGGAATCCAGAATACTGCGGTATATATCCCTCACAATGTCATGCACCCACGAAAAAATTAGATTTCATCAAAATCGGCCATCCAAAAATCTGCTCTCGCCGAATTCCAAAGCAACGTTCCGAGTAGACTACTGCACATATTGACAAGCTTAAGCATTCTAAAAATCGATAAATATGTTTACATGAAGTATGCGACGCGGCACATCATACATCTATCATATCCGAACACTATTTGGCATTCATGCTGGAGTTGACATTCAGTCCGAGCTCAGTCATCAGAGTTGTCATCACCGACCCGTCGTGACCGCAGTCATCACCGACGCGACCTGACCGCTGTCATCACCGATACGGCTCGACACCTCTGACTACTTCACTGACCCGATTGTCATCTCCTCTGATCGAGTTCGGTTGTCACATGAGACAGGGCACACTAGCTCATTTCGCATCACACTCAGCATACTAGAACTATATATATTATATCTTCTGTATGTTGAGAGAGATTCTGAGTGCGAAACCCTGAGCGTTGCAGTGCTTCCTGTTTGACCTGTCTGTTTACTGACTGGGTCTTCTCGCAATTCATAGTATCCGTAGTAACGAAAAAAACATTTGAAAACCTTGGATCAAAAATGTTTTTTATAGGTGTAAGGTCAATTTGAGTGCGTATATACACCCACTACGAGGTCGCCAACATGTATATTCTTGCAAGTATGATTGGGTATGATGTTATGATAAAATTTTGTACTTGGGCGGCTTGTTTGACCTGGAACTCTATTGGATAAAAATATTTGAATGGCATGGCATGTTTTTGAACGTCCTCCAAAAGTTGCAACTCAAAAAATGATAGGGTACATGCTACAAATGCATTGGATATAGTCATTTTATGACGATATACGGTTGATGGCGCATATGGACACTCAGTTTAGGTCCTAAGTGTACTAAAAACCGAAGGGTAGTAGGCACTAAGACCGTCAAGAGGACGGCTAAAAAAATTCCCGCAACACCGGTCCTTGTGGGAGGACCCAACGCCGTTTCGGTCCTCCCACAAGGACTGTCGGGCAGTAGCCAATTATGTTGCATTTTTTGAACCGAAATTAGCCGAATGAATAACGTTGTCGACTCGGGTCTTGACATATAAACCAACAACAGGCGCGTAGGACCGTCCCTCTCGGCTCTCGCCGGTGACATCAAATCCCCACCCCCACCCTGAGCTGGCCCCAAAGAGGGTCGCGACTACTCTGATTGGGCTCGAGTATCACAAAATTAGTTAACGCTAGACATCGGTCGGCGAAGGGGGGGTGTGTGTGGGGGTGTGGTTCGGGCGGTACGGTTGTGCGGAGGAGAAGGAGATGGTCGGTCATGTATAGTGCGCGGAGACTATTAGTTGCTAGCTATAGTTATTACTCATCCGTGGAGCGAGTAGCGAATGTCCTGTTGTGATTTGCGGTTAGCCTAGTCTACAAGCCTTGTTTGTTGATTTGGACGTCGAGTTTAGGGGTAGGAGACACCGTAAATTATTTGGTAGCCGGGGGCCGATTCGGGCCGTCCGGGATAATAAAAATATTAGTCGTGTCGTGTCGTTGTCGTTATCGTTGTCGTTGTCGTTGTCGCCGTCGTCAAGCGTCGTTGTCGGCCCTGCTGTCGTTTATTTGCCGCCGTTGTCATTGTCATTGTCCCCGCCGTCAGTTGTCAGTCTTATCCGTCGCTCCGCTTTGTATGCCGTGTCAAGTGTCGTGTCGTGTCGTGTCGCTGTCGTGTCATGTCATGTCATGTCATGTCATGTCATGTCATGTCATGTCATGTCGTCATATCATTTATCATGTCACTCGTTTCATGCGTCATCGGCGTCATATATACGGCGTATTAAGACCATATTTAAAAACGCGACGGATATAAAATCCAAGATTAAATACTTATAGCGTTAATATTGGGATTGCTTATATGCAGCCGCCCCGGAACGTGCAGGTGCAATTAAGGGACATCAATGCCTGCCGGAAGGGCATTCTGAAGGTTTGAGGTAGTCGAGGGCTTAGGTCCTCCCAAACGGTCTTTGGGGATTTGCGTGAATCCAATTTCTCGCAAAGATTTGGCATGCTACTTCTTCTCTAGAGATGTACGAATGCAGCTGTTCCCATCGGTTTCTCGCAACGCCCCAAGTAACGTTTGTTCAACAGCCCATATGGACGTACTTGCTGCGTTGGTTTGCGTATTAAGTAACTTACACGCGCCATCCCGGATGTGCCGCGGGGCTCGAAGCGTGTGAACCAAATGACCAAATGAAACACAGATGCACACATACAGCGTTGAAAATATGTTTGAGTCGTTGTTATTACTATTTCTTAGCGTTCCCTTCGGCAGGATACCGAAGGGAATGCCGTTTTGCGGATGCCGGTTCCCGCTTCCGCCACACGAAGCGGGGAATCCGGGATCTGCTTCCAGTCACCGAATCTGTGCGGGGATGCTTCCAAGCGTTCATAATACCTTATATTAAACATTATTCGCTTCTCATATATCGCGAAGAGTTATCAATCTCTTCATTAATCTACCCTGCTGCACTAGGTTTTCACAGTGTAAAGCGCTTAAGAAGCGCGAGCGGAAGCGGACAGATTCCAGAAAGATACCGGTGCGATTTCGATAACGGTTTAGATGTCCTTCTGATTTAATCGAACGGCTGTACGGAATTTGTAAACAATGAAAAATATAATTCGCATCTGAGGAATCGAAAAGGAATCCGTCGCGCTTTTCATTACACTCTTAATACGCCGTGTCACGTCACTGGAATTGGGAAAAGAAGTGAAAAGACGCAGACGTTTTCGAATGACGCTGACGTGTAAAAGGCTTTAAACGTTTTAGAAAATTTTAAAAAAAATCGTGCAATTAAACTTTTTAACTAAAAACTTTTTCGTGCAATCTTTATCGTGGTTTTTTAACAAAAAATCGTGCCGAATCACCATTAATATGTCTGCGTAGCTCAGCGGATAGAGTGTGGGTTTCCTAAGCCTGAGGTCGCCGGTTCGAACCCGGTCGTAGACTGGGTCTCATCTGTGACTAATGTTTTTTTATTTCTTGACTCACAATAAACAGGCTTTTGCACTGTCAAAGTACCGAGCGGTGTCACCTCCCGATCCCGTCCGGTCTGTCGATACTGTACGACTTTTATCGACCAGCGCAGGTGACACAGTACGAGTAGAGGTTTTTCGGGGTTCACGATCATGCATCATCATCATGACAATCGAATGACAGCCAGAGCCCAGACGAGTGCCACATCGCCATTTCAGATTTCAGCGCCACCATTTCAGCGTCAGCAACACATATCATGATGGAAGGCAGCATCGGCGACACGTGTTCAAAAATAGCGCAGCGTCTTGCGACACGATCGGAAATCCTCTGTACGAAAGCACACGCTGAACAGCATGTCCGAGTCTTATTGCTATTCAGGACTATTACAGACGAGAGCGATACAGGGAAGGGTTTAAAACTTCCGAATCCACATCCAAATCTTCAGGGAAGCCCTCATCAGGCAAAAAAAAATCTGTGGAATAACACATTTCTGCAGTTTGCAGAGGCGGCAGTTCTACGCTCGCAACCTATAGCACTCTTCGGCTTTACCTCAACGCCTTACAGAACATTTCACAGCGTCACTGGTTGCCACTCATACAGTGCAACATGAACACTACCACAATGACGAGAACCTGCACAGCAGATCACCGTTTGCTCAACCAGCGAACGCGACCGTGGGCCAAGGCGACTCGAGCAGTTAGAAAGTCAGCAGTGGCGCAAACGAGGCGAAACGCTCTTTCGAGCGCACCTGTGCCTCCCTCTTCATGCTCTTTAACCGCCTCTCAGATCACAGCTTACCGCAGCCTTCGCTTTGGAAAGTCGCTCTCTGGCTTTCATGAGAGCGTGCAGGCTTCCAGGCCCAACTTGAGCCGGGTATGATGAGAATTCAAGTCTACGATTTGTGCGTGTAGTGCGTCTCCCAGCGCTCTGATGTACCTGAATTGGTCTCAAATTGCAGGGGCACCTGAAGTGCGCTGCCCAAGCAGACTTCGATAGCATGGCGGCTGACCAAGGGCGGCGATATTTTATGGTGTGTGGTTGCCTCTCTACGTCCTGCCTCAGGGCTTTCTTCGATCATATCAAATTTCTACTTGGTACTGAGTCGCATACCTAGGATGCTATTCCAGTCAACAAGTTGCTTTCGGATTCTAAGCTGATGCGAAGTCTCGCTGGAGCCCGCACGTTCACACGCCCAGGCGTGCCGAGCGTCCAGTGGCTCGTGCGATCTCATAACTCCGCCCCGAAACTTGCTCACTCGTATCTCGGGAAATCCTACCTTCCCGGCCGTATCTTCATTCGTTTATTTGCAGGATTTCTGTGTGCACGCACAGGATTCTCTCAGGAAATAACATTTAGAATGGAAACTCCTCTTTGATGCACGGAGAAGAGTTATCAATTCACCTTTTCGGCGTCATACCTGGTTTTGGGCTTCAGACTAAGCGATCTGCGAGGCTCTGTTGCAGGTGGGCGGTAAAGGCGGTGTCGGCAAAACCAGTCTCGCGGCTTCCCTTGCCGTGAAGTTTGCGAACAGCGGCCACGCAACTCTCGTGGTGTCTACTGACCCAGCGCATTCTCTGAGTGACTCGCTCGATCAGGTGATTTCTCACGCCTTCGCATTTTAAGCCTCGGCGACTGCTGCTGTCATCAGAGCGGAGCTATGAGCATTCACGAGCACCGACACAGCGGTTGCACTGGCTGGGGTTTATGCTTTTTCCCCTGAATGGGAGCTATTAGGCAGCCATGCCCGGCGCGGAAAGAAAAAAATAAAAAGAGACACCCTTATTCGGGGTGTGGGGTTTATAGTCCCCTTGACCGGCGCGGAGCTATCAACAGGTAGCGTAGAGGTTAGATTCGGTAGGCATTTTTTTCTCGAAATGGAAGCACTTCTTAGGGTTTACCGGCTCCCTCCAGTCTCGCCTGCCACCGGTTCCATCTCCTGTTTGGCTTGAATAAAACTCTTGCTTCAGGTCATGCTCGAGTGGCTGGTGCTGCGCAGGACGTCACCGGAGGCGCGCCGGTTTTCGTGGAGGGCACCGACATGCCGCTCTGTGCACTCGAGATCGACCCAGAGAAGGCGCGCGACGATCTCCGTACCTTCGCCAGTGGCGATGGTGGGAAGGAAGTCGAGGTGACCCCAGGCTGGCCCCACGCGCCGTATCCCCAGAGGGGCCCTGATGCATTCTGCATCCGCTCCCGGTCTGAACTGAGCTGGATGCCACTCGGCCCTCCCTGACGCCGTTACTCGAGCCGAGTTCTCTCCCGCCACTCGTTTCTTGGTCCTGCTCGTGTCTAAAGATCGGGGAATACCGAGAGGATCATCGGAGACCTATGTAGCGGCATTGGACGCATTCGTCCCGGCGTGGCGAAGGGCAGGAGTCCTTGCTGTCGGGGGGCGGCGGGGAAACTGCCTGCCCACCTCATCGGTCCTCAGTTGTTCGCTGTAGGGGAGGAGGGATGCAGCCGTTCTTGGGATTTGGTTGTCTCATTGGAGTGAGGACTAGCTTCTCTATCTTGGTCAAGGGTGAGGGGAGCGCCCCAGGAGTCCTTGGGGTCAATGCGCCTCGGCGAGGTGTGCCGCGACCTGGCTAGCTAATCGCATGTGGATGGCGGTTGGTTGGGACTGCGTGGGGCGGGGGGGGGGAGAGGAGAGGGCAGGACTTCATGGGTTCGGTGGGCCTCGGAGGCATGTATGACCAGCTGGCAGATCTGAAGCTAAGTGAGCTGCTGGACACTCCCCCTCCTGGGCTGGATGAGGCACTGGCCATCGCGAAGGTTGTCCAATTCACCAAGAATGAGGAGTTCAAGCAGTACACCCGCATTGTATTTGACACTGCCCCCACCGGGCACACCCTCCGCCTGCTGTCCCTTCCTGATTTCCTCGAAGCTTCCATCGGCAAAGTGGTGCGCCTAAGGCAGAAGCTCACCTCCGCCACCTCGGCTATAAAGGTGAGCACCCCCAATCTCAGTCCCTGGAACTGGCACGACTTTGCGCTGGCACCGCGTTTTGCACTCCCAGCCCATCATATGAACTCCTCACCTTCCTTCTCCCCCATCTCACTTTCTGACGCCGAGAGGAAGCCCTTACCCAGCCAACCTTCAGCCTGCTCCCGCAGCTAAAGCAGCCCTCCCCTCCCCATCTCACTTTCTGACGCCGAGAGGAAGCCCTTACCCAGCCAACCTTCAGCCTGCTCCCGCAGCTAAAGCAGCCCTCCCCTCCCCCATGCGGCCTGCGTCATCGCCTCGCCCCTTCACGAGCACGCTCAAGGGCGCCTCAAGGGCGAGCGCCCTTCACGTGCTTGCGGCTCTGCTCGAGCGCTTGCGCCAACGTTCAGGGGGACGGTTAACTTGGATGAGGCGATGGGACCACCCTTTGCAGGGACTCTTCGGGGCAGAAGAGGAGCAGGACGAGGCCATAAATAAGCTTGAGAAATTAAAGGTTTGTTCTCCTATCGGTTCACACACGAGAGCAGTGCGGTGGGGGCTCAGTGGCTCGCTGCTTCGGTTCACACACGAGGGCAGTGCGGTGGGGGCTCAGTGGCTTGCTGCTTCGGGGCTGGTGCACATCGACCTCCTGGCAACGGGATGCTTGTGTTTGGCAAGCGTGCGGCGATGTTGTATAGAACGCTGGGATCTGAGGTCTCAACGTCGTTTGTGGGGACAGTTGGAGATGCAGGAGGTGCGCGATCTGTTCCGCGATCCCTCGCAGACGGAGTTCATCATTGCCACCATCCCCACGATCATGGCCATCAGCGAGAGCGGGCGCCTGCTCACCGAGCTGCGCGCGGAGGAGGTGCCGGTGAAGCGAATCGTGGTGAGAAGAGCATTCCGAGCACGCATCCGGGGCGTGGCAAGCAGCGAGCAGAATGGTGGCTATTGCATTTAGATGTCATTGATGCTCGGACTGCTTCATGGGCGTGCCGCTGGGTTGAGATGCTCGGACTGCTTCATGGGGGTGCCGCGGGTTGAGATGCTCGGACTGCTCTTGTATTAACGTGGCCCGGTCTGTTCAATACCTTACAGATGAACCAGCTGATGCCGCCCGTGGATGAGACTGTGGCGGCCACTCCGGACGAAGTGAAGACGATGCTCCAGTCGTTAGATAAGGAGTACGGCACACATCTCACGGCATACAACCGCTTCTGCGAGGTGAAGCGGAAGGACCAGCAAAGAGCCATGGCAATGCTTGAAGAGGACCCTGGCCTGAGCCAGCTCGTGCAGGTATCCCTAGCCGCTTAAAGCTCCTTTCCACTCAGGACTGAGACCGGCTATGCCGATGCCAATTTGCGTGAGATCGGCCTGATGCAGCCTCGTCGATCCCCCCTTGCAGTTGGGACGGGCCTTGGGAGGCCATGATCCCATGCGAGGCGTGGTGCTTGAGGGGTGTTGGGACGGGCCTTGGGAGGCCATGATCCCATGCGAGGC